GGTTGCTGGTGTAAGCCCTGAAGTGGTAATGCTAACTATGGAATTCATTGCACAGAAAGGTTCACCAAATTGGAGTGCAGAAAATAAGATGACTAGAATTAACTGATAAATATTAATAGAAGAAACAGGTTGAATGAAAGCAAATCAATTTAAAAAACAACCACTTCATGAGAAAAGAAAGTTGAACGTGAAGCATTAAACAAATAAAAGAGCACATCTGAACACAAGCACTATCAAACAAGAAATGATAGTTTGGTAGAGGAGTGTAGAGGGAGTCACATGCGTCTTGTGAGCATTTCATGCTCCTATTGGTGAGGAAGTGACACATGATGATTTGCATGAGAGACATGTTGGAATCTTGAAATTCCAATAGGGGGAGCAGAAGGCTTGTGACATGTGTAAAGGAAAAAGTTCATATATAAAGGGTAGTACTGAACAAGAATAGCTAATCTTGTGAAAAGGGTTAAGTACCTGTCAGAAATACATTTTCAGTACAGGAAAATTATAACTTTTGGGTGTTGACTTGGGCTGCTGTCATGAGTGAATGCTTACTATTGATGTTACTTATTGACTCCTGGCCTAATCTGTTTATTTAAGATGTATATTTAATGTAACTAGATAGGATCTGTTACACAACTGACACCTAATTGTACTTTGAAAATTAATGGGAATAATGTTATTGGAAAAAAGTTTGATATATGGATTTTACTGTTTGTGAACTTCCCTACATTTTTTACACAAAATTTTAGCCTCATGCTAAGTCTAACATGAGGTCATAAGAAGTTGAATTAGCTAAGTTCTTGATTTACAACTGAAGTAGCATAACCTTGAGCTGTAACAGTGTTGAATAGAGCTGGGTGTTTAGTGGCATTTGCCATTTGATCAGTTGGCAGACTCAATACTTGATCATCTCCACCTAATCAATTATTCTCATATGAGATGGTTCTAAATTTCTCCCAAACCTGTCTGAATTATTAGCTTAGGCTAGATATAAATGGTAGTTAAAGCAGGTTTGTCATTTGGTGTTTGCATTGGAGTCTTAGTGGTTGTTTTGGGGTATTAGGCTCAAATGTTGTTGAGCATTGCCATATATTTTGAGCATTACAAGTTTTCTCTGCTGACTTTTTCAAGTTTCTATTGATCACACACATTTGAATGAGTGGTGATGGCTGGATGTGTATTGCACATACTGGAGAATGTGGGTGGAGTTCCTGTAGATTTTAGTAGAAAGGTGATGATCGTGGCAGTGTACTAAAATGTCTAAAAATGATGGCTGGCAGTCTTTTTAGTGAATTGATTGTTAGTACTTTGAGAGAGGAGATGTTGGAAAAAATTATCAATTCTGTTGATGTGTGGCCAGATAACAAAGGTATAATTTACATGTCAGTAGAGAGTCTGAACAGTTTCAAGATCAGACAAAAAGGAATAATGCACATAAAAATTACAAGTGGCAATTTTATCAGTAATATTTAATGTTAATATTCCCAATTTACATTATTGAATGTAAGGAATTTTATATTCTCTTGATATTCCCTAGCCTTGAAAGAATTTCATAGTATTACAGTTAAAGCTTCTCCTGGTCCATAGTACTAGTATAAAACCTTTTAGAATCAGGAGTTTTAATGATCTCTTGAAGGCTTTTTAAAGCTGTACAGTGACCCCAATATGTTCCATTTCATTCAACAGTTAAAACACTAAAACAAAAAGCTGTTTTATGTATCATTAACAAAAATATCCTTAAAATATCTTATATTTCATTTTAATTTAGTTGGCTGTTTATCTACAAATAAAACACTTTATTGAGTTTAGTAATCTGAGTTAGCAACTCTTAATAGTCTTGTCCAAGAATAGTTTGAGCAGGATTTAGTTTATTTTTGTCATTATAGTAACCTACATTAATTCAACTAACAGAAACACCACCCTACTGACTGCTGTATGTGCCCTATGGGTGGTTCTTTGTGCTAGTAATTAGTAATCATAGTGTTACGTCTCTGTATGTTCGTTTGTTAATTTTTCTGTGATACAAGTCCTTTCTTAAATAAAACTAGTTTATTCTTCCTCAATACAACTTTGCAATACACTTAATTTCCACAGTTACTTTAACTTAAACACACGCTATAATTCACTCACTTTACTACCTCGCTTGACTCAATTGTCCATCTCTATCTCCGCCTGTCAGCAACTATAGTTCCGATCTCTGTATCTGATATCCTCAGTTCCCACCAACCATAACTGCTGTCCTTGGTTCCCCACTCTCCCTCTCTCTCTTGTCTCCTTTGTCTAGCGCACTTGTATACGATAATAGCGCCCGCGTAGCCTCTTCGAGAATCTTCTAGACACTCATCACGTGCTACCAGCATCACTTGACTTCCACTGTCGTAACAAACGCATGCCTAGCACGCACTAGCATTTTTTGCAAATCTTCTGGATAATCATTACGTGTTACCAACGTCACGTGACTTCCACTGTCGTAACAATAGTATTCATACCTCATTGTAAAAAAAGTTAAAATTTTCTTTAAAAGTGCTTTTTTCTGGGAAGTACTGCACAGGAAATGTGTTTGGATTGTGCTCTTTTAGTCGAGAATGATTCAATGTACAGAGCTCAAAATTGTTATAAATTTTAGTAATATATAAACTGTAATGTTATTAAAAGTGCTACCCTTTATTGTAAAATCATAGTTTTTTAGTTCTACATTTAAAAATTACATCTATAAAGATATAATCAAATCTTCACACATAGTCCTAGTAAGTCATCTTGTTGTGAGGAGAGTAATTTTATTTAAAATTCTGTTCTGTTATAAAGAAATGGCATATGCCATAGTTACTTTTTTAATTGTCTGAATCTTGAATACCCAAAGTGTGAAATTGTTTTATGGATTTTTGTTTGTGGCATTGAGATCTTGTTGTATTTCAGCACAACAGATGGCACCAATGTATTTATTATTTTGGTCACATAGATATATATACACCTGGAAAAAAGTTAAGCACCCCCAAATATTTTTCAGAATTGCTTATTGAAAATAAGGTTTAATTTTCATGATGTTGAGCAATGTTCATAATTTCAAACATAATTAAAAGGATGTGAGCGTTCAG